TCTAATTTGTAGTTGACAGCTGAATATACTGACAGAAGGATGGAGTAGCAGTGGATTCTCCGCTAGTTCCATTACTCGCTGGTTTCTTCATGGCCTACTGTAGCTGTAATAGCTTCCAGTCAACCATCAACAACTTCGGAGTTTACAGGCTGCACACAGATGATATCTTCACCACTACTGAAAAAAATACTGAGCTAATTAAAATCCTGGGAATCTATTACAATGCTCATTGATCATTCGAATTTAAAATTGAAGTAAAATCAGGAGATAAATTATTCATTTCAGAAGTCTAGCTTTCAAGACGAACAGATGGAACTCTAAAAAGACCAACTTACCAAAAGCCGAAATGGAATGGGTGGCTGACAAACTTTCACAGTTTTGTCCCTATACGCAGAAAAATGGATCTCTGTTGTGACGAGAATCTAGCTCATATGTACTGAAATATGTTGAGTAGAGAATTGGAATCCATCAGGAACACTCGAATCAAAATTGGATATCAAACCTTCCTCATCGATTAACATCTGAAGAGAAACACTATTGTCCCGCTAAATCCAAATGTGCTGAATAAAAGACTTATTTTTAACTCTGAAGTTCAAGGGATATACAAATGCACAAAGGCGTAGACAGCGAAGAAGGTTTTCTTCTAGACGATTCATTTTCAAGAGCTGTACAATTGAATTTATATATTGATCAAAGAATTCACAAGACCAATCGGATACTGGTAAGTTTGTTCTATACAACGTGTTACACAATGTAAAGTGTAATCTAGAAGGGGATGACTAGTTGGAGATTAGAAAAGAGATGAGAAGCTGGGATGATGTAATACGTGTGAAAAATGACTAGTCAATTTAATTGCATAAAGTGGACACGGAGTAGTGTAAAGACAGTAGAGTATTTATGTGAAACCTGTATGAAAATGCCAAGTTATTAAAAAAAGTAACAGAGTGACAATAAAATAGGTCAAATGAAAATATACAATTAGCGAAATTCTCCGAAGTTGTTTGTTGAGAGCAGTTCAAAGAATGTTCTCTTAATGTATCACTACTTCTCAACTTCTCCACACCTGCTGTTCTCCCACCCCTCAAAACATCAGTGACAATATCCCGCTGTTGGCAACTTCAGTATGGATTTACTTCTTCACTTGCTTCTGTGGAGTGAAGCACTCGAAACCGTACCAGTTGGACATTGTGTAGACGCACTCATGACCCCTCACATACATGACTGTCAGAAGGATAATACAGAGCAGCCAACAATCCAATAATGGAGCGCGTTATTACTTCTGGTCACTCAGTATTAGCAAAGAGTTCATTCAGAATCATATACAAAGTACCACTGAGCCCTTCAAAATGATTTCGCCCACATATTCTTCATGAAACTGAAGCGGTAGCAATCTATATGGAAAAACCTGGACTTTGTGCTCACAAAAGTGGTCTTATTTCTGCTTTTATCTCCCTGGATTGTTTTGTAATCAGCCCTATCTAGTCCTTTTATTTTTCTATTTTTGTAATCCATCTTCAATCGTTTTATTTCTATCAGTTATTTCCAAATGAGTATTCATCACTTAACTGATTAGTTGTCAACCATCTCAATCACAGATCGCTATCACTCATACACTTTGACCTCTGTTGTCAATTAACATTGTGAATCACTGTACAGCACTAAAGTTAAGTTACAAAAAGCGACGGTTTTGCTGACCTACGTGTTCTTAATAACATCACATGGGGATTCGATCATAAAAAGTGAAAAAATCCTGGAGATATGCATGTAAATGAGTTTCTTCATACATAAGGAGGCCAAGGAAATAAAAGTTGATAAACCTAGCTGATAGTCGTATCGTACTGTCAAGAATCCTTATCCATTTAGTGTAAACATTTCATGACATTATCATGAGTGTCCTAATTGCTTCTTTAATGATGAAAGTAATTTTTAAACCTGTTTCCTGTTGTTGTTTATATTTCATGAGAATTTATTTAAATCACCTGACAATTTTCGAGTCATACTCTACGATAGGTTCACCTGATATTAAATATGGATATTCTTCAGCGATATTCCTCCTTTGTCTAAATAATAAGTCAAAGTTTATCAGAAATATAATACCAATAAATTGATCTTTCTAAGCCAGCAACTTGAAACCTGTAGAAAGACTGTTCAACAAGTGAAGCTACACAAGCGCATATTCTCTGTGTCAGTGTCCTGAAAAGTTATAAGTTATTATTGAAAAAATTGTCTAGAATAATTTAGGAATCTATCCATTATCTTCCAGCATTTATTGTTATTTGTAAGAAAGAGAGGATTTCTAGGAATCCAAAATGAAAGATACCTCAGAATCCATCAAGCATCTTTCCAGTTATCTATTTGCTGTCAGTGTTTATAGACGAATGAAATAATTAACTTCAGGTGCATAACTATTCTTATTTATTTATCTATCGGTTTATTTCGGTTTTATTGCACTTCATATCAGCATCTAGCAGGGTCTAAATATACTCTAAGCAATACAATACTTAACTTATGACGCATTACTTGACAGAAATGGCAAGTTTATATTCAAAGAGTTTCAGGCTTCTTAATTAGAGTTTCAAGAAAAGCACTTCCATCAGCCTGCTTTAGACTTCCATCAACAGTCACTGTCGATCCGAACTGAAAATCAGATAGACAGAAAGGGTAAGTAATAAGCAACTCCGGCAATGAACCAAACAAGGACTTATCGCCTAACGAATATGAGGAAACAGATGGAGATGGATTGGATATACGCCGAGGGGGACTGCTAAGTGACACCAAATGCCACGCTTTATGTCCCACTTAGAACCCAAATGAAATAACAATAATAATAAAAAAAGGATATTAATGAACACAGGAGACGATCCCCTAGACTTCTGTCCCGTTCAATTCATCAGCCGACTTATATTAAGAAATATTTCTACGTAAAATCAGGAATGAGTAACATTTATACTAAACTTTCATGTCTTCTTTTAGTATCACATCCAAATGATGGATGTCGATTATTCTAGGTCTAAAATGTCTGACTGAAATAGCTAACTAACGGATAATGCTATCAGTACAGACTCCGTGAGGAAGAGAAGTAAATCAGCTGTGCATGGGTATCAATAATATAGTACTTCATTTGAGTATAAACGGCCTAAATGTTATGCTTGTCAATTAAAAATTAACCTCAGAAGGCAATCTGGCATAAAAACACTCACATCCAGTGCTGCATACATTCTCCATCAGATAGTTTAGTCTATTAACGAAATTCAAAATCAGGTACAAAGGGAAATATGATAATTTGCAAAGTAATTCAAACTGTCCAACTGTTGTTTCCAGTTTCTACTGTGTCATGTTAACTTCTTTATTAAATTTGCCTTGTCAATATTGTTGACAAGACATAAAAGATTTATTGATGAATTCTTAATAAGTTGAAATAAACAAGTGAGTCAACTCTGAGTCACAGTAACACTCCAAACACCACTACTCACTTCGAATGCAGGTATTTACAGTTGATGAGTTAAAAAATAAGACAAAACTAGTGTCCCAGTGTTGCCTATCATCGGTCAAGTGACATTCATAGATGAAATCTTCAGTTTGTCTGGTTCATAAATGTATCACGTTATTAGAAGAGCAATTAGTTATTGGTTAACTCCCCAGCCCTTTTTTTTCCACTGGTGATTACATACACTTTGCAAAATAGTGGTCATAGGCTTTCTAAGGTCATTTGAAGAAATTATTTTTCTAAAAAACAATTAAAAGACGAAGTATTTAGGAATTTCACTATCTTCACGAAATAATTTCACCTTACATCCTCACCAGATTTTTTCTTCTTTTCCTGCCTCGGGCACATGATTATACACTCTGTCGTTTTATTCTGAAGAAGTCAAATTCGATTGGACTCTAGTAACTAGTGTAATGTGTCTAGTCCTTTGTTTGGTGCAGACTGAATTCTATCAGTCAGGTTTGCAATGTGGCCACCACTCTAGGTAGCTCACCATCACGGTGCACATTGATTTGATGATATTAGATGGTTGGAGACAATCTGCAGGAAGCCTTGGACCTAGGTTTCGTGCTAGTTGGCACTCGTCAGGGCGTATCTACAGCCTGACGAGTGCCAACTAGCACGAAACCTAGGTCCAAGGCTTCCTTCAGATTGTCTCCAACCATCTAATATCATCAAGTCAAACTCCCCCAAAGTTTTTTATTATTAAGTTTTCTGTTGATCATACAGTCGACCTAGAAATGAATTTCTGTATTGATTAGTGAAAATAGAAAGTGTCTGATTCAAATTCATCACATGTGCTTATCAGTTATATAAAGTTTTCCAGCCTTTTAGTATTATTATTATTATTCTGTGACAGATGAACTCTATATTGTTATATTTACAAATAAAATTCCATCAAATCTTATTTAATTACTAATATCGCATAATATACTAGGGGATAGTTTCAAAAATTGGAATTTTTCTCTTGTTTTTAATTCTGAAAAGAGAAAGAAAACTTTCAAACTAGTTTGAAACATCTGTTGACCAAAAACTGCTTTCTAATTTCACTGTATTTATTGACTGCCTAGCCTTTTTTTCTTTTTTTGTTCTCTTCCTATGAAAGAAGTTAATCAGAAAATTCTAGGGCCATAATTTCTGTGTATAAATCATTAATTACCTTTTACTTTTTAATAATCCACTTGATTAATCAACATTATTTAATTATTTATTTATTTATTTATTGTGACAGTTTAGTGAAGCAATATTATTTCGTTCAATGTGGACTTTGTGCATAAACAACCAATTGTATTATGCAGCTGTACTCCAGGTAAGCTTGTACGTGTGTGCATTTATACCATATATAGTGAGAGAGAGACAATATAGTTTTGTTTGAATAGATTTGTACAAGCTAGTTTATTTTCGAATTCTCTATGCACAAACACCTATGCAGATATGTGTGTATAAGTGCAGCCATCGAGATATTGCATCTTTATATAGAATAATTATGCAAGTTTAGATACTCGAATGCATAAACAAACATTGCATAGGTTGAATTTTGAAGCCAAGCTACTAATGTCTTTGTTGTTGTTTGTTTTTCTTCATTAAGGTCACACAAACAATATCGACTCAATTCATCCTATAAATAGTGTCACAAAAAATAGGAAGGTATCCATACAACTGGAGACCAACGGAAGAATTACCTACTTGTGATTAAGTGACTTTTCTAGATATGACTGAAAATAAGGCTGTTATTAAAAATGCTGATATGACAGAGGATATGCAACAAGATGCTGTCGACTGTTGTACACAAGCCATGGAGAAATACAATATTGAAAAAGATATTGCAGCCTATGTGAAAAAAGAATTCGACAAGAAGTACAATCCTACATGGCATTGTATTGTTGGTAGAAATTTTGGAAGGTGAGTGAATTGTTTCGCCTTTTTCTTGTTTCAGACACTTAAATATTTCACATAATTAATTATTTGAGATGACCTCAATATAATCATTAGTTAGTAGAAGAAGAGATTAATATGAGTCATTTTTTCAAGTGCTAGTTTGTAGGGATTTGGTTTGGTTCAAATTTGATCACGGACTGATACGAGTTAGGGGACCATTGAAAAGCAGTCCTACTTTGGGACTCAGACCTACGCATAACCATGATCCCATCAGTGATCGAACTCAGAGCCTTCGATTTGACCATTGGTTCACTTATTCAAACTTTTGACCGTTGGCCATTTTTAGCGCCACCACTAACCAATGTCATCAGCAATTACTTGTTCTCATAGCCTACTTAACAAACTCCTCTGATCACGAACTCGCACTGGGACTGCAGGAAACTTCTACCTGTAGTCAGTCACTAGTGAGCATCAGATTAATTCTGACGTGTTAGTGTTATCGATGAAACTTTTAAGAGAGGTGGCTTCATGGAAATAATTCTCTAGGAAGGTTAAAAAACAAGCGACTCGAAATCCATCCCCTCATGAAAAGATTACAGGTGGCCAGCTATTCGGCGTCGACTGGAACCAATATCAAAATACTTCCCCCTAATTTGCAACTACTCTACAGAATAAGTAGTGCAACACTCGGGATGTCGTAGGTATGACAAAATGCTACATAACCACCCTCTTGGTTTTACACTGTCACATAATTTGAGGACAATGCATAATTATTGTCTGTTCCATCTACATTTTATGTTCTTTTTAAAACTGAATAACTAGAAATTCCTTAATCAATGTTTTTAGTAAAGCACATTTTGATTAACTGAAAGTGTATAATTTGCTTAATACTCACAGAGCAAAGACTGGTGAAACACACTTAGGCTGTAATATTCCTGAAATAATCTATCTCTCAGATGATGGCTTTGGACTCGATACAATTATATAGTGTGAATACGACAAATGTGCAGTAGTAGTTATATGCACATTATTTTAGATAGTTTAAGTGGAAGTTGTTAATTCGCCATGAGTAATCTCATCTCAGTAATTATTGGATGGATATGATCACAATTCAAGTGTTCATTTCATTCATCATTCATTTAAGATAGATATCGTATTACTCTACTAACGATCCGTTTTATTTCTGACACCTTAGTACTTATTCTCTAAACATTGGATTTCCTAACTGGAAATTTACATATGAGTTTCTTATATATACACACTATTAAAGTGCACCTTCAATCAAATGACTTCATTTGAAACCCACGTGATGGAATCACAAATTCTGAGGTAAAAAAGAAATATCTACCCATTGTACAAGTAATCTGCAGCTGCACTATGTATGCTTATTTCTGCTGGACAATAGGACAGTAATGGGCTTAATTTTAAGTTATCTAATGGATCTACTGACCTACTGATAAATCACTCAATTGTCACACTACAAGGTGGCAGTGAATAAGGAAGTCAGTCTGAGTAGATTCGAAAGAAACTTCTCTAATTACCCAAGTGAATCGTAACAACTATATGAAGATATTACAGTTCTAAAAGTGATGCAATATCCTATTTTGGTTATTGAGAGTATCAAACGATAGGTTATGTAAAACTGTATTTCTTACTGAAAACTAACCTCAGGTATTCATCGACAAATTTCATCCTGTATACTTCTCAGTATTGTACAATACAACTAATAGAGTCAATTAGACTAAAAGCATTCCACTAAACAGAGTTTTTGGATAATTCTCCTATGGCGGTAATTTTAATGTGACTTTTTCGAATTAATTTGCATAAATCAACTGTTATCTCGTATTTTTCTCAGACCAATTCTTATCCCCACCCCATCTTTTCCTCGTCTTTTTTAAAATTTCAGCTATGTGACGCATGAAACCAAACACTTCATCTATTTGTATCTGGGACAGTTAGCATTCCTACTGTACAAGTCTGGTTAGATGGATGTTAGTCAACAGACAGGATATGAAGAAACCAATGGACATCGTTTCACACAGACACACACACAAACACCACGTATCAAAATTTCCAGACACCAAAATATCCCCAACTTATCAGTTACCTTTTTCTTCTTCGCTCAACAGTTTTCATTTTTTGTATTCAACTTTTGTCTTTGTAACTTTATTTTAGTTAAAAGTTGAAAATAAACTTTGGATAAATAATAAACAGTGAGAGAAAAGAGAGGATCACCAAGAGAGAGAGAGGGAGGGAGACTGCAGCAACACTGGGACGAGTTTGTTTCTTTCTTTTTCTAAATGATTATGTATGCACTCATGAATTGGTCTGGATTTATTTTTGTATACGTGTGTCTGACTCTTTTAATATCCCTCCTACTTATTCTGGACATTGAAATATGACGAACTTCTAACTTTAGATACTTGTTGTGGGTGTTTCGCCTCCTTCTGATAAGAAAAACCAAACCAAAACAACTACTGCAAAAGTAGATAATAAAAATTATTTACAGATTTAAATAAATAAAATATACTGTCGTGTTTTTGATCATTTTTAACTCATTAACTAGAGTTTAGCTTTTCCCTTCATTGATGATTGATGAGGTTTCGTAGACAATTTTCGATATAATGACCTAATGGGTTTAGTTGGAAAGTAACCCTGACTCGTGGTTGGATACAAAGTATTCACCTTCAGAATAAAAGTTTATTGCCTCCCAGTGTTTATCTCCTAAAACACAGACCTGAATATAGACCGTGGTATGTAATGAATATATATGGAAATATTAAGCATGTAGTTCTTGTCTCCGGTGAGATTTCGGTAGAATCTTGAGATGTAAGTCTTCAGCATACGTTAACTTAACAGATTTACCAGCCATTTTGTATATATCCTCTCACTGTGTGCATGTAAACACTTGAATGACATTCTTAAGTCTTAAACTTGATAATCGTTTACAAACTGCATAGCTCGTGGTGGGGAATCACTTCATTTTCTTCAGGAAACCGAAAATAACATTTGATCTGCTTGGTACTATGAATGGCAATGAAGAAAGCAAACAAAACAGCATGATATCATATTCTATTGATTGATACAACTCACGTCAGACAGTAATGCTTGCCAGCCACATCTAACTGATGTAAACACTGGTCGGTCGTTTCGTTTGTCGTTTGAGGTCACACTCATGAGCTTCGAACCTGGTGTCATTTCAACCAAGTGTATATAACACCACGGTGAATTGGGGAGATTAGCTACACTCTAGCAAATCACACGGGGTTCCAAAAATACATCTATGTACTCGAAGAGTGTATATTTCTTTGTCTTGAAGATCAGTTATCGTTAACGAGAATAACAGTCATCGAGTTAAATGCATAAGCTGCAAGAACTGCTGAAGTATATAATGCCTTTTTCTCTCACAGTGAAGCTTTTTAACAAAATGTACATAAACTAGGTGTTTTGGAAGAAAAGCCGGTGTACGTAGGGTAGGGCAGCAACAACAATAACAGAATGTTGAAATTAAAATGGACTATGATATGTGAAAAGAAAATCAATCATCAATAATGATCTAACAATACAGATAAGTCATCTTAGCAGGTTCAGCGCACCTATTGCACAAAATCACCGTCTTTTGTGTTTGTATGAAGTGTTCGTCAGTGAAATTCATATTCGCGACATGATTAGTGTTAAATCTTATTATAACAAGTATAGAATTCAGGAGGATTTAGTCCAAGAAGTATCACTTCAGACATGAAATATGTACACATATGAATATAACCTCACTACCTTGATAGTTTTGCATGCATGTATATGATGTACAGAAAGGAAGGAAATAATTATTGAGAAGTAGAGAGCATTCTACAGTTGAGTAAATTACATCTGGGCAACCTATTAGAATACAACCCCAGTAAGGTATGCTTTCTTTGTATTTTGCAATCGTTATATATTTCTTCGAGCTGGAAATCTTGTAGTTAACAATCTGTACTCATGGAACTCCATTATCTGGCAATGTTAACTTTGCCGTTGAGTAGTTTTCCTGATTTCTCGCCAATTTTGTGAACTGATAGTAAGACAAATATAACGAACATTTGATAGTGACCCCCTATATTATGTTCATTTGGATTCGGTCATTAGTTTTGATTTTACCATGAATCAGAAACTATGCTGCAGACAGAGATATAATTCTTTTGAAGTACTGTCTTATCTTACTAAGCTTTGTTTATTTCAATGACACGTGTATGATAAGTTAGCAGTTTCAGTCCTTATGTGTTTCGCTTTAATGTTCGTCATCACTTGGACGTAATTGCTTTACATTTTTTGAAGTAATATTCTCTTGTGCTTTCACAGGATGTTACATCAGTTTCAGCCTACTTATTCACACTATTTGGATTGAAACTGCATGTTAGCTTCACTGTTGGACGACATTTCCCTCCGGGGATTTTAAGTAATAACTGGTTCACTCTAGAATCATCTTTTCCCCGATGACCGGTGGCTTGATTTAAGACAGCTGTTTGTAAAAACCTGTACTGTTTCCTTTAAATTTCCACTGTTTCAAACTAGTGGCGATAATAGGTGTATATGCATAGCTGAGTGCTATCATTTAAATACTTCACTAAAACAAAAACCTGGAAGCTTTATACTTTTGAAACTACAACTACCCATCTCCTACTGGTCGTTTGCTTTTCTGATGTTGTGTGTTACAAGTTAATTTTCATTATTCACTACTAGTTTCGTCACAATAACGTAAAATTAATAAACTGAATGGAGTACTAAAAAATTTTTCCCTTCGTCTGTGACGCATCAGCTTCTCATAAGCGAGACAGAAATTTTTTCGAATAGATTATAACCAACGAATCGAAAAAGTACAATCCACTTTGATAAAATGAATCTGAAACTGTTTATAAGGTAATTTTTTTAATGTCAAAAACGTTACACTTTAAGTAAAAGGAATATGCAAGTCTAGCGTGTTATATGATAAAACAATTAACAAAACTGACAGTAGTTAGTATAAGAATACAGTAATATAACGAAACATTCAGTTTGCGAGTTTAAGCCGTGAATGGACGGTACCAAGATCAGGCTAGATTTCAAAGAGACCAAGAGGTGAAATATTTAAGTTGTGTTTCATTTAGAAGATATATTTAACTGTGCTGGGCCTAAAAGCAAAAGTATGTGTAAAATTATTGTCAGTCATTCCATTTCAGCAAACTGCATTCTGTTTAAACATTTGTGATACCTGAATTTCCATCCAGTGTGATTCATCCACGTTTCTCCATTTCTTGTGGTTTTAATCTTCCAACCATCTCTTTGGATCACAACATGAGTTGACGCAAATTTTCAAATGACTTCCAACCCACCAACGTGCACTTCAAGAAGCAAATGATGGAAAAATGTCGTGTAGAATTAAGTCTTGTTTTGGGTAAAATGACACTGCGTCCTACGATGTACTGTCGATGAATATTCTATTTTAAAAATCCTATACGGGGAGTAAATGTTTTGCAAGAAATTACGTTGAGAATTCTATATTGTGTGTGGACGTAATTTCGAGAATAAAACTGTTACTATTTTTCCCAAGACAATGACAGGTTAGTGCATCTACTCTGTCTGTATTATGCACATCTGAATCATTCACAAAAAGTACCCATCCAGACTTAGAGAGAAGAACAAATAGTTCAGAGAAGAGTCTCCATTCGGCGAATTCATTCACTTAGCTGTACAAACGCATCTATATATAATCAATTCCCTATGTGTGGCTGTGTGTGTGTACATTCAGTTTGTCAGACAAGAATACAAATTTGTCTGGAGTATTGCTTACGTCATCAAAATACATGAAAATCAAATTGTAGCTATGGGGCAAAGATGAGTTAGTCTACACTAAGGCTGAGTAATATGAAAAACATTCAGAAGGAATTGGATTTTAATGAAAGAGCATGAAGACATGTCAAAATAAATTATGTAGCAGGTAAAGAGAGTGAACAGAAGGTTAGTTAAGAGAATGATACTAAAAATATCATACTAAGAAAATGTTGATAACAGTTGAGCTTGGAGTTATACCAGAGGTAGATGAGTATGGAGGAGTTTCTTCTGTGTACATAAATCATGGCTTTCCATTCGAATCGCTAAGGCTTCTGCAGTACAGATTGTACTGAGGCATGCCGCTTTCAGGAGACTTCTTTTAATTTTGTAGATAGCTTTGAAGGAATTTTCCTTGTATATTATGTAACCAGTGTTGAATATACGTCCAATTTCAGCGCTCCCTACTGATCCACCGTGACCTTGTTGTAGCCGAGGATTGAAAGACCAATATATCTCACTCTATAGGAGCAGGTCAACTGGTAGATACACATAGATGCATATACCGAGGTTTATCTTTAAAGTTATCAAAGGACACTGAGTGGCAGAAGAATACCAATCTTAATATAGCATGTTCTGTTTAGGGTATTTGGTTTTCCCTTCATTAGAGTGTAGGACAGGAGGTCACCTCTGAATGCCATATTCAAATATAGTACCTTCGGCATAGAGATGAGGCCTTCTTTTTTGGCTTTGGGTATGAATCAGATGAAAGGGCAGAATTCATTAAAATATAAGTTACTGAATTAAGACTTCGTGAAACATAAATGGACTGACCATCAGTTTACAAGGTCATTCAGATAAATTACATCTACTTATGTCTCATCAGAAGTAATGAAGGAAAGTAAATGTTTACTGTGTTTTCGGTTTTCAACTAGTTCATCTATTTTTCGAAGTCAAAACCTGATAAGATGGACTTCATCCTATGATTCATGGATAATATTTCGCACCATACATTTATTAAAGCAACTATGGAGAGACATCTCTTGCATGTTCTTAAACCTTCTTTGAAATCTTTTAATGACCCAAAGCAGTTTGCTTACAAATGCTGTAGGAGCACATTCGATGCTGTTGTTGTACTCCACCACATTATTGTTTCAAGTCTTGATAAAGGCGTAAAGTTTGTTCGAGCCTCCTTTTTAGACTACACTGCGCTTTTGACTATTTTCCTAAGGCACTTTTACTAAGCAAGCTGATTTCAGCAAACACTAACTCCTGGGTCACAAGGTGGCTGTCTTCTTATTTTTCCGGTAGAAAGCAAACTGTTTTGAGTGGAAAGCGCTCCACTTCGTTGCTGATGGAAACTGGTGGGCCTCAAGGCGCTGTACTCTCTGCATTCCTTTTTGTTTCTTTTTGCATGACCCTCCTTATTTTTCCAAAGCTAACTTCATTAAATATGCTGATGATCTAATCACTTCTGTCGCAGTAGTTTCTGCTTTGGATTGTTCTTCTATGAATAGATTCTTGTCTGAAGTTAACAAATGATCTTACCTAAATGGTTTTAAATCCATCTAATTCAATATTAGATAGGTTTATTTTAATAATCACACAGTGATGCAGTATTAACAACTGGATCAGGGTCAAATAGATAATCGGAACATAAAAATTTAGCTAGACGTAGAATAATTGACACTGCTAAGTTAAATGACCTAAAGGAAAGCTCAGTCATTGTACTGTATTCACTTGCATGTGATCACAA